ACTAAAAAGCTTCTGGTGATGACCAACAGGCCAGCAAGGTGTGTGATCGAAGAAACTTACGCGCAGCGATGCCTGTCAGACCATTAGCTTGAGGAGTGACGGCTTGCCTGTCAGCCAGACTGCGGACCTGCATCACATTGGGTGGCGGTGTGGGCATGGGGCCAACCGCACCGTTGTGCAAGATATAGAACTGATTTCCCAATGGCGGGCGATTCATCTAAAAGGCATGGTATAATCGAGCGTTTAAATCTAAGACATCCTCTCATGAGTGCATTGACAGCATCAAAACTACCTTTCTTGCTGGTAAGTTAGATATACATCTTATTCAGTCAGGGCGCGTCAAGATAACAAGATCGATTATCGAAAACTGACTGCGAAAAGCAGTAAACGTGGCCGTACTTGGCTTTGGCACATTTTGACAAGAGCAATGTTCGCGGAGGAAAGTTGAGATGCATAGTCTAATTGCAGGAACGATAGGAGCAGGAGCTCTACTGTGCATTAACCCGTTCTAAACATGCCACGGGAAAATTATGTGTATATACGTCTACTGAAATGACGGCAAGGACAGAGTAATATCAAGAGATTGGGGAGACAAAACCGAATGGACACTCCGCTATAAAGGATAGCTGCGCATGACGAATGTACCACGAGTTAACAAAAGTAGTGAGGTACAGTACTTGGCCTCTACCATTGAAACAATCAGTATGGACCTAAGAACCTTTGAAAGTAGAAGAAACGCATTCGTTCGACTGGTGAGACATGCGGTCAAAAGCAAACACAAACGTATAAATTTTCCATGGGGAATTTTGCAAAAGACAGTTCTCATTTTAACTGAATATTCGGACGACAAAACCCCCGCCGCGAGTAAACACGACTTGACAAGAAGAAACAAGAAAAAAGGGTGCATTTTGGTCGGTCGAAACGCGACGTTTTAGGCAGCACTGCTAGTTTCGTCGAGTCCTCCAAAATCATCAACGCTCTCAACGACCAACTCCCTTCTGTTTCATGGACTTTCACTTGGATTGCCAGCAGTCGACCATACTGCCAGATGACATGCCACAAAAAATACTGCGCCTCATCGAAGCTCAGTAACACGGCACAATGCATGTGTGGATGGCGTTAGGAATGACTTCATCGGTGTCATTGGCATTTATCAGTCCTGCTTTCTCCAACATGTACAGGCGGACAATTCAAGTAATAGGGTAGGTCGTGTCACAAGAAGTACACGTGTGGGAAACATTGATGTTGTGGAGCCCGTGCAGAAATAGAATGTGCAGTGTCCCAGACAGATCCTAAGGCAGTAGATGACTTGAAACTAAAATTACCCGAAGAAAAGGTAGCGCTTGTCTAGTGGTCCAAACCATTTGTTAAACAGTAGGGTAATGATGAAATCGGCCATTGAACCAATCAGGAGGGCGCAGTCTCCGTCGGACTTAGTCGAAACCTCTGGAATCATCATAAGACTAAACTGCAGACCAAGTTACATGCATACGTAGCCTCCGTCAACAGAATCTGTCTCACGGATGTGAGGCATGGTCCGCAAGTCCACGAGGCGTATGACTAGAGGAACTTTTCAATCTATATAGACTGCACACTCTTCTCCGAATTGTGCTCTTGGATCGCGTCTCTAAGGAAGACGGGGATAATCCGGACATGCGCTATTCCGAACTGAGGGTGACATCAACCAACTTTATTTCTCGCTTGGTCCCGGCCTTGTTCGACGACAGTGTCGGAAAACGAAGGATAAGGATGGGCGTAGTGAGAGATGGCTTCGTGCGCATCTTTAGACCCGATGTCTTCGGTCTAAGCGGCTTGTGGGCTAAATGGCTTAACGTTACTCGAGAATACGCAGATCGAACGTCCGTGATGTTGAGGACCTACAACGCGGAACAGGCCTAAGCAGTTACCGCGGATTTCTTGACAAGCGCAAATATGCTTCCGTACAGTTGTGTGCTGGACACTTCAGTCAGACGCGCACTGTCGTCAACAAGGGAAGTACGTGACCCAGACATTATATTACAGGCGTGCACGCCTACATAAACCTGTCAGCATATATCAAACCCTAAGGCGATGTGCCCCAAAGACAGAGTTCTCCATGACACCCGATTTGAATCAGGCGAAAACTGAACGAGACCGCGGGAGAGGAAAATCCGGGTTCAATTCTTAAAGCAGCGCATAGAGGATCTAAGGACAATCGTTCTGCAGTAGTACACATTAAGAGTTGGTTTTAGACGTTAAGCGGTAGCCTCGTACATGCGTTCTATTGGTCTTGACATGAGCTACAGATTCGAGCGGCCATCACTATGCCAAAATTTTGAAATGCGCTGGCAGGTAAAAAGGCAAATTCCACTGCAGCCTTCCCAATTTTGCAGTTTTTAAGTGGTCGTCAGAATAGAACTAATTCGGCAACTCAGGCAAAAGCTAAACAACGTGGTTTTCGGTTTGGAAGTTGTTAGCCAAATCAGCAACAAAGATCTGGGTGAAATCTCAAGCGATATTCAGACGGAAACAAACATGCAGATGCCGCACATGACGTAGCCGAAATGTCAGAGATACGAGATACTGTCCCCGTATGTGTGTCGAAACGTGGGACGCTGTGGCTGACGGAATGTTGTGTTGGTCATTAATCACGCGAAAGTACGGTTGGGATAAACTTTATAACAAAAAATAAGACTGCGATTAATGCCGTTATTCCAATCAGACATACGAGGCGGGAAAAGTCATAATAGACTCTAGAAGAGCCTAACAGTTGTGGTAGTGGCAATCAGGTTTGAACACCATTCAAATTGTTGATGTTTTCGAACGGTCCTTCTCGAAGTACCCTTAAGAAAGGCCTCAGGGCGATGTTCGCTTCTGTTTGGGCGTGTTAAATGCTCGCAAAGAAACTACTGGTTTCATGCTCTATTTGAAGTGCTATATAGTTTACTAGAAGTAGAAAAGGTACGTATAAATCAGGGTCCTTTTAGACCGAAAACAAGTAAAACAGACAGATACCATACTACATTCTCGGTGAAAGCATTTTCAATAAATCTTACTATTGCGGAAAGACGAATATGCCTTTTAAGTTGTAGGTAAATGTTGGCAATTAACAGTACTAATTTCGATACTAAATCGGTGACGTTAGAGACCGAGAGAAAACTGTACTAATGTGTACGTCACTATTCAGACAAATGTTATACGTGCGAACATTTCAAATTACAGGGAATAATGTCGGAAAGAAGAACGAGGTAGGAGTATACATCGCATATTCCTACTTCAACATAATTATAAGTACCACCACGCGCAGCCGCAACTAGAATGACGCAAACATGATTAGCGAGTGTGCAGTAAGACATAAAACCCGATGGTTCTGCTGAACATGCTCAGGCAACATTGGCAGCTCCCCTAGTTTGAATATCTTAAGTTGGCAAAATAGAAGTTAATAGGTATCCTAATAATTCCGACGGAGTGCAGTGGATAACAAAGACAACACGGCCTGCTTATACGACTGCGAAAGGCGAGAGACCGTACATCAATAACCGAGATTAAGGTACGAAGGTCATTGGGCACTATGTTTTACAGTGAAAGAAAAAATGCATGTCGACCATAATAAGGACAGTGTATGCCCTTGGATAGTTACAGAAGCAATTTTACGAACCTTCCGTAGAAAAACGCATATAAAAGCACGCTCGAGATATTTATCGAAATCGCGAGGCAAAGGGGAGCAAACGAAACTTCATATCTTAAAAAAATAAATTATTGCAGCATATTCAACCATTCTTACAGGGACGTTAGTTTGAAGGTGGTTCACAGGCATTGCGAATAGCAACAAAAGCACGAAAAAATAAAATATAAAAACTGCATGAGGTTAAACCAAACTCATGGTTTAAAAAACGCAACTAACCAGGGTATTTCGCGGTACATTGGCGTCCACTGGGCGTATGCCAAACCGGACCGGAGAGTTAGGCAAAACTGACGCCATTGGCAGCTGCTGAGGTTGACCTTTTGACAAAATTTTGCATAATCATGCAACGAATAGCTTAAAATAAGGGGTGAGTATTTTCCAAATGTGAATGAAATATAGCATTCGGCGGACAAAACGGCTGGCTAAGAACATAATGCGGTGGACATCAGATATAAAGCCTATAAGCTCCAATGCAAGACAGCAAACGAGTTTGTTTAAACACTAAGATGTCAAAAATAATTTTAACCAAGCAATAAATTGCACCTTTAACTTTTTAAACACAAAAATGCAAAAGACCACAGAAACATGGCCACCTCGAAGGGAGTCCCCCATCGTTATGAATCAGGTGCCAGAAAAAAGACCTCTTGGCGTATTAAAAGAAAAGAGGGCGTTAAATAGCGAAAACCTCTTGAACTTAAAAAGCATGCTTTAACTGAACAGTTATTAAATTTTTGTAGTCATTTTCTCCTTGACGGCCAGATGCGCAGTCAGAAAAATGCGTAAATCAATAAGAGACTAAAGACTGTCTGCAAGATTAGGTAGTGATTAGGTAGGAATGCAAGATACTTTTACAATCATCAAAGCTATGCTGAAAACAAATTTAACATTCGCGAACCGAGTGCATTCTCTATGTATCAGTTTTCTTTGTAACGGTATGTATGGGTATGCATTCTCGGCCAGACATGTTATTGCACAGCGCAAATTAGAAAAATAGGCGCTCGGGAAGGTAATTCCAGGTGTAAAAGTCGTCCCACTTTGAAAACAGACATTCCCTGCACTCGAATAGCGCAGATGCGAGCGCTCCTTAAAGGAAATGTCCTAGAAAAGACTCTACTGGAATACAACCCCGTTTTCAAAAGTCTGAATTTAGAACGGTTTTAAACACAGTAGACTGCTCGCATAAAAAGAATCCTCACTCAAAATACCATAACTCGACGGATTATATGGACGTTCAGGTCTTCTGGGCTTTTTTATAGTTCACTTTATAGTGTCTGGGGCAGCTTTGGAAAATATGCAGCCGTGCTATAAACGCTCGATCGTCTTTCGGGGAAATTAAGAGGCTTCAACTGTCAACAAACATAAAACAAAAAATAAAGAAAGACTAAGCAGCAGCGCAATGCAAGGTCAGCCAGGTAAAGCGCAAGAAGGACGATGAGATCCAGTCGAAAGGAGGAGTTGATGTAACTAATAAAATCGATGTGACCATGATATCCATGACGGGACAAAAGGCTGTGACCCTGAGCTGATCTTTTGGATGACAAACCTATAAAAAAGTGAGTTCCCCGTGTAAATAAAGTGTCATATAAGTGAAAAATTTGCATTTCATTATGTGCAAAATTCCCTTCAGTGTACCGTAAAAACATTTCTGTTCTACGTCATGTAAATATTCGCGTTAACTTTGTCCTTTTGATAAACTTGGTGGATATCGCGCACGGTTAGTCATGAAAAATGGAACAAAGTAAAAAAGGATAAGTAACTTTTACTATATGATCAAACAAGCGTATTGCTGTTTCTGGCAGGTTATTGGAAGTTTCGCGAGTTTAGGCAGTGAAAAAGTTTGGTATTCGTAGTTGCGTGGGTTTGGAAACGTGGCCGGCAAGCTATGTTTATTAAAAGCTGCTCTGTCAAACATTTACCGTCTTTTATTTTGAACGGAAATGTCATCGCAAGACAATTTTTGTTCGTCCGCATTCTGATACATTTATGCAATCACTTTTCATGATTGCCAAATAAAAATGTAACCGGTTTCCAAAGTCTGCCAAAAATGCTGGACTTTATAAAGCACTTAAGGATAGGGTCGAGGAGAAAAATGCACCACACCATTGATAATAGTTCTTAGTTTTCGTTGTAGAGCTGGCGGCAAATTGAAAACCCAGTCGGCAGCCATATTTTCTGGGTTATTTAGTATCTGGCCATTATAATTAAATTGATAATTAACTTAAGAGCTACTGATGGGATTTACTTGGGTCTCGGAAGGCAGGGTTAGTCTCACTAGTTGTTCTCATGCCCCACTTGGTAAGGCCCAAGAAATTTCCACGGGCAGGGAGTTGTTTGCGATAAGTTCACAAATCAAGCATGAACTCACAAAGAGGAACAATCAGGTTTCAAAATAGCCCGAAGTCAGACTCCATCAGGAAATTGCTGTACGCGTTTCTATTTATGGACGAACCTCCCTAATTCACTTTGGTTCTTCCCTGTATAAATATACTTGGAAGTGGATAACACGGTGTGCAATCTCGTTGGAAAATCACCCGTGAAAATGAAAGCAGACGATTTTGCGTAGTGTGCATGTTGTTGGAGTTTAATGCCACTTTCACAGTCCTTTCCCAGTTTTGCTTGATTTCTTCCTTAAACCTGGCGAAAACCAAAAAATGACCACTTAGTATTTTGCGAAAAAGCATAATAAATACACCTGTTTCAGATGCAGTAACCGAATGTCTTATTTTGCCACGTTTTATTGCACATGCAAGGGAAATATAGTTTCCCAAAGTTAAAGTTCTGCCTTCAACTTTCTCATAATGAACAGCTCTGTCATCATGCATGCGCTTACACAGAGTCCTTGAAGATTTGATAGCAGACAGTATGCAAGTAATTTGACGTTTCATGGCCAAACGAATCCCGTGTTGCACTGCAGACATTGTGTCTAACGCTAAGCCAGATTTGTTCCGAATTATTTATCAGTATATCAAGGAATTAAGTGTCTTGACTGCGTGCGCTTGCACATGTTAATCAATGACATCTGTTGCTCGATCGGGCACAGGCAGTTCCTAGGTGCCACTTCCTGCTCCCACACGTTGCCGTGCGCACGCTCATGTTAGTCGACATCTTTTCGTTCCTTTCTCGTCACGTTCTCTAAATGTTCTTTTTTCCCTCCCGTTATTTTTACAGCTGCAAGTAGCCGCAACGGACTTCAACACGTACAACGGGAAGATATTGAAATCTTAGGAAATATATTCGAAAAAGTGAGGTGATTGATACCGTCGGACACATCGTCGTCGTACACATCGTCTGACAGCTCGACAACGTCTATTGAGTCGTCGCTCTCCTACGATGACCCAGAGTTTGAAAGATGCAACGCCTCCAAGTACGCAACGGTCTCCTCGAGTGTGTTGACGGGGCAGATAGCAGGAGGAAAGCCAACGCTGCTTGAGACCTTGGACAATGGGACTGCACGCTCACAAAAGGCTTACTTGGGCCATTTGCACTAGGCAAGTCGTTACACTATCGAGAAAATAGCGTCTCAGATTTTCAGTTTTCTCCCCTTACAATGATAAGCCTGAAATCAAACATAAATTGCGGGCAACATTTCGTCGTTAATGAAACGGTCTGCGGTCTCGGCGCCACATTTGACCGAAAATTCGTCATAGCCTATAGGGCCTTTGGACATGTGTTCGGTGTTCCGGTAAAACGAGTAGTGGTGACTTCTTCGACATCTGCTATCAACAAAGACCACCCAACGTCGGAAGAAGGATCGAGTCTTGGCTTAGAGACTTACCCCATAACGAATACATCAACCAGAATTGCATTGACGCGAAAACGCTAAGACTATACTACAAATACTGGCGCCAGTATTCGCCTCTACTATCGGAGGGAAAAGGTAAAACTAAATTACTTAGGTTGCCAGTGAAACGAAGACAGTGCCATGGCTGAAGAACTTCATCGTGCGGAAAAAGCACCAATTTCATAGTGATTGCGGAATGCCTTGGCTTTTATCACAGAATGAAAGTAGTGTTAGACAGTGCACATACGTATTAGTATAATTTCACTTATGATTTTGCGAACAATGTTGAAAGTACAAATATTTGTTGTCGTTGAGTAGTTTTTCGTTGCTATGAAGCGAAAGTATTACGGCTTTCACCGAAGCAGACATTTTCGCAAACTAACCCCAGACTCCGACGACGAGGACTCGCCAAACCAACCGAAAGAGCCAACTGGTCGGCCAGCTCCACCGCCAATACTACAGTAAGTATGACTATTGTAGACATTTCGTAGGCCAAGAACGGATGAGAATGTGCCACACTTGTTTCTCACTGCGTCGATTGGACCCAGTCAGTCAACACCACTGTCCTCACTTGAGAAGACAACGCTTATCATTTATTACTTTAGACACTCCACGACAATTTCTTCCTATGTTTCCGCGGCCACAATTTCGACGGAATTTAGCCAGCAGGTGCAAAAGGACATGGCTGACATAAAAGGTCAGTTAGTAAACACAAATGTCCGTCTAGCGGCACTTGAGTAAGACTGTGAACAATCTCCCTAACAAACTATTAGGAAAAGGAACGATTTCCTAACTGAGCAACTTATGGCTCTTCATAGCAGTGCGCAGCAGATGCAGGCAACACTATCAGATGTTGTCAATGCATTGCAGAGTGCCTCCAGCGCCGGTTCTGTCACATCCTCCTCCCTAAAGTTACCGCTGTGTACCGAGGAGGCATATGAAAACTTCCTTCGTCGGCTCAGCGTAGACGACGGTTTTGCAAACGAGGCGGTATGTGCACATCTACTTGACTGTTTTCAGATCCGGCAACTGGCCATGGAAGGTGGTCGAAATGAGGCAGACTTCCTCAGAAACCTACTGACAGTTCTATTGGGCCCGCCCTTATGCCACAACTTCTGTTGGGCGGGCGGATCCAAGCAGAAGAAGTCCTACATGGCCTGTCCACTTTTTCCTGTCCTTAAAGGTAAGTCCAATTTTTGTTTATTTTCACGCGCAGATGCCATTGCTCAACATCCCAGTTTTGGCAACTGCACTATAGAGGTATTTTGACGGACAGCAATCAGGTGGTTTCATGGATCACAGGACCGGTACGGAGGAAGATCGGTGCGTCGGCGGAACATTCGTCAGGTACAAATTTTCGGGATTTTCATCCACATGTATTTAGACTACAGAAATCACCATACCTGCCGCCACATGCCCACAATTATCCCCCACCAAAGAACCGGTAAGCAAATTTATCGAAACGCCAATCCTTCACAGCATGCCATTTACTTCATGTGATTTTTACTATTGAAATCGTAAGTATTGGATACAGTGTATCATTTCTTCCGTTGCGCCTGCATTACGTATGTCTTACGAAAGATTTTTTATGCAGGAACTACCAATGGCCAGTGAAAGTGACTTCTCATCCTGGATACGAAGGTCGCTGAAACCCCCATGATCCAAGACAGACTTTGAACATTTACATTTTTTGACTTACGTATTCAATAAATCGTCCTTCCACAATACCGCCTTCCGACTTTACCATCTTCGGTATCCGCATTTGCCCTGTAGTGGGCCACTTACCGCCGTAGCCTATCTTGCTTGGGACGTGGAGGTTCGCTGTGACTCGTTTCGGGGTTTTACGTTAGGCGACCGTTCGTCATGGTTGGCGTTTACGGCCAAAAAAATCGAGGCCGCGATGAATGGAAAAAAAACGAAAAAAGCCCGCACGCAAAATTTTTTTCTAGGTGTGGCCAAGTGTGGCCAATGTGTTGATGGCCACACCATAGCCACACCATTTGGCCACACCTGGCCGCACCATAGCCGCACTTGGCCACACCATATTTGCCACGGCCAAGTGCGGCCAAGTGCGGCTGGTGTTGGCAGGGTGATACTTTTTCGGTAAAGAGCCATCTGATAGTGCGATTATGACAGAATACCAGACTGCAGTAATACTCTAGCTTACATGGACTGTCCTGTACTGTTTGAGGATTTCGGGAAACTTTGATTTATAGTCCACGACTAAATTAATCAGTGATATCCGAAGAGCGATGTAATTAATTCAAGGCAACCTCGTACACTATGCATTCAACGATTTTCAAAACTGAACATAGGTGCTGTCAAAACCCTGACTCTTTCATTTACGTATTTGCATATGCAGTTTACATTTATGTTTAAAGTGGATTCGCAGCCTGAAATATTTATCTGCAAGCCACATACCTGACTGACTCGTTAGTTAAGCCGATTCCAGACTTGTTTTCCAGGCATTAGTTATTGTATCATGCAGCATACGAGCTAAAAAATGAAAAAAAGGAGCAAATTGATTAACTGTCAGCCCCTGGTGATAGCCCTATTGCACAACGACTAGCTATTTTTGTTCTCCGTGTTAACACGCATTTTTGTCGGTGCCTCGGCAACCTCAACCACTATTTAACTGTCAATGTTCTCGAATTCTCAGATAAACTTCAAAATTAGTATTCGCGTTGGATATTTCAGACATATATTTAACAGATCTGGTAACAAAGCTGTTTTTGAAATTATAGCCCAGGATTGGAATCAGAAGCATAGCGAATGCAAACTAAATTGCCCAGAAAAATGAAGAAATCTTTGGAAACAAAACAGGGTAATATTGATAAGTCAAAGAATTCATGAGGGGAAAATATCGAGAAGTAACTGACGAGAACTGTAACAGTCACAAAGGCAATTTACCGAGTGCTACAAATTACAACAGACTGTTTTCGTAAACAAAAAGGACCAAATACGAAAACGCAAAAAACTAGGCCGGATATCAACCCAAACTCTCCAAGTAAGGGCCTGTCACGCTTTCTGTGTGACAAAAAGGACTCATGCATGCGAGACGTACTGTTGCCCGCAATCCGGTGGAATAATATGACATGAAAAACTGTAAGCATATATCAATTCAGCAAAGAGCTTAAAACAATCTTACTTGAAGTCCATGAAGTACCGTGCACTGTATTTTGGCCTAGTACAAGACCTATATATGCCCAATGTAGTTCGAACATAAAATTGTGTTTAAAAGTTTCACTTCTGCATTATGCATCCTGTCAAAAAGTCTATGCTCATTGCTTATGTGATCGCGCTGTATGTAGTATGAATTTGGAAGGACGAAAGCTTATAGTCGATGCATGGCTAACAAAAAATCAAACATGTTCATATGGCCGAGATCTGAGAAAAAAATGCTGGGGAAGAAGTTTGCCCTCCTGACACCGAGCCTGTCCAAAAATACCAGTACCATGACTGAGGAGAATGCGACAGGCCAAGAGACAGTATTTGGTTACCAACCGAAAGACTGAGCAGCATAGAAGAATTTTAACAGAAGAGCAGCGTGCAAAGTGGTCTTTAGTCGCAGGAATTTTAGTGAAATGAAGTCTCCACCCATGAAGATTCCGATAGGCATCCATTCTTTTATGGAGGATTCTGTCGACTTTTTAGACATGATAAATGATAGATCTAATTATGAATCATTAAAACTCATTAGTGTACGCTATTTCGATGGCGCTTGGTTAGACTTGGTTTACGCCGAATGGTTCGTAGACACATTTCGTAATTTTTTGTTCTTTTGTGACTTTCTTTAAGTGCAGAATCGTTATCTCAGTAAACTCGAAAACGATTTGTATTTACATGCTTTTAGGTTACTTTAAGGTTCCCCTAGGGTGGGCTATCTGAACATTGTCGTCACTGATCGCGTAATTAGCGTCATTTTCACTAGTCAGAGGGGTTTGTCTATTCTTCTTGAAGAAATGTTTTCTACTCCGCCGTCCTTTAGATATATTTTAGTCCAAAAGGATGATATTTCTCACTAGAGGTGTATTGTACAATGTCGCTCATGTTAGTGTATGTCGGGTCTTCCGGCAAATCTTTGTAATGGATATTCTTCATTCTAATTCTGTAGATACAACTGTGTAACAGGGTTCCCAACTGATCGGCCTTCTGAAAACATTAATTGACATGCTATCATTATGGTTATTGTTTGTTTCCTGTCGTTAAAACATCCCGAGCAATACACGCCTGCCTCTTTTACTGTTAACGCCAATGCATGCTGCTATACGCTAACTATCTGACATTGTGCAGAGAACGTATAAGGGGCCCGTGACGTGTCGGAAGGTCCTGGGACAGTGTTGGTAGATGAGGCAGGAGTGATGACCTATGTGAGGACTCTTGGCACTGGTTGTCATGCCTCAGAGCAAGTGATCGATCAGACTGGTGCGCGATTCAGATGTGCGGGTGCCATGTGGACAGGTTAGAACTGGTTCATATTGCTGGTGTGGTGGGCGATTATGGTGATGGTCATTAGGATGACAGGTGTCCTCGTTGGCGATGCTTTTGGTGTCTTGAAAGAGCGGCGTGTTGACATTGCACCACAATCGGAGATGTCAGATGACACCGATTCGTGCCATGAATGTTGGCAATATAGGCACGATGATATGTTTTGAGTGCTTGTCTTATTAGACTGCGAGTCTTGAATCATGCGGGCTTCTCTTCTCCCCTGGTAACGACTTTTTAGTTGTCCTCGAAGATAGCCCCTCTAACCTCTGTCAGTGCGCCGGATTGCCGATCCTGAGAGCGGTCCTTCTAGGGCGCACGGTTGATTTGCCGGTGTTTAAGGGAGTTCCTCTTGCTCTTGTTGTAGCTCAGCCTTTGTTCGCATTGTTCGACAGAGCCTGTGGCCACGTCGCCATAGAATTCGCTCTTGTGTTGACGCTCATTGTCCATCTTCACCACGTGGCCAGACCAATGCAGTTGTATTTACCTCAGCATTTCGAGATATTGGCGACGCTCGTGCTTTATAGGACTTCGATGCCCGCAAATCTTCCTTGCCACCTCACTTTTATTCTTCTCTAGAGGTAGCTCAGATAAAAACGGATTAGGTGTTTCAGCGTGGGTTACGTACACAGTCCACGTCTCTGGCCTACACAGTAGCGTTCTCAGGATGGAAGCTCAATACATCCTCAGTTCCGTATTCATCTAAGGCTCGGGGAAATTCCAAACTGGTTGTTGCATCCACGAAGTGGATGTCTGCAGTAGCTTCTTCGCAGATTGAGCACGCTTTGTGAGTGCGCAGCCCGGCGCTCCTGGCTCTGCGACTTCTAGGTGAGCACTGGGGCAGTCTTATTGACTTGGGAACTGTAGACTATTTTTATGGATTTGGGAAAATTTTTTACATCTCCGCGGTCAACATATCGATCGGCTTACACAGCCTTGTAAGCCAGCCTGTCAATCTACGCCACCCTCAGCTTCTGATGCACTAGCCTTCGAAATTGAAAGCATGCAGCTTTCCTTACATCACTGTTCTAGACAGTGTAGGCTGTGTGTGAATTGCTTTTCTTGGAGAGCAGATTATGGATTTATTTTCATTGTCATTGAACCAGTCCTCATGTAGTCGACGTGCGCAGCTTAGGATCTCTATAGAGATTGCCTTGGTGGCCTCTCTCAGCTCTCTTTACTGGGTTTTGACAGTGGTGTTCACCTCCGAGTCTCACATATTTACAGGGTTACAATTCAGTCAACTGTTAAAACTAAGTCTCCACTACGCCGTATCCAGTAATAGAGCACTCAATTTACCTGCGGTTCGCTTACCTTGCCACCATCTGCTGGGCTGGACACCACATTGGTCACTAGTACATCACGTTGGTCATATCTCCGAACGAGGATGTAGTCCAGCGGATCCCAACGACGCGAGCGAGAGTGAATCCACGTCGTTTTCTCCGGAGTCTGGAGGCGAGAGATGCTGAATAGTAGAAAACTGTGTTCCGTCTACGTCTGCTGGAGAAGGCCATTGCTGTTGCTGCTACCGACCCCATAGCCCTTCTTCCAAAGACAGTCAGTCTGGCTGTCTTCGTCACAAAGGCTAGGAGGCCGTACAGACCTTTGTCGAAATTGTCATTCATGTCATCGAGGCTGGTTACTGAGAGGAAGGTAGGGAGCTTAGATACTGACGACCGTAGCGAATTTGTCCCCGCAAAGAGGTAGTCTCATGGTCATAGAACAATCGCTGAGGCCCTACAACAGGTAGGACAACCACCCAACAACGTCTTTCCTGGTGGCGA